CTATTGCCCACTTGGTCGCCTATAGGTATTAAGTCCGACTTTTTAATTGACTCAAAAAAACACAACAACCCTGCTTTGATTTTCAAAAGATACACAAGCATGCACACAAACATGCAGCGCCCTCTGAAGGTTCTGACTTTCTTCTTCAAGTGCAATTTCTTCCTTGCTTTCTGTTTTTCTTCTTAAAAACGTCCTAATTGTGGAAAATGTCAAGCACACGAAGTGAACAGTATACAGAACTCCCAAGTACACACTCAGTTCAACCACGAATACTCCACCCATCTTCAGTCATCTGTATATCCATCGTCCTTCGTTGGTAGAGTGCTTTGCTTTTGGCCAAACTCCTTAAGGAGAGGCAACCACCGCAGCCAGGTGAGCTAAGAGGAAACTCCTGAAGGTGCCAAGGTCTGAGGCGCACGAGGGACCTTCCAGGTATCCTTCAGACAAAGCCTGGTGGCAAAGGTGGGAAGTGAACACCACAGGAACCCTGCCTGCAACTACGAGCCTTCAGAATCACTTCTGCCATGAGAAGGAAGTCAGCCTCACCTGGCTAGGCATCTGGACGCACATGACCCTTTGAGTTTCTTCTGTCTAGGGACAGACGATCCCACTTGAAATACCAATACCTAATACACCGAACTTGAGTTCCAGAACTGCCTCTGTGTTTTGGTACCACCTAACTCCTTGCTCATCAAATTTAACATAAATCTTAAGTCTTTACTCCCATCTTTTTCCTTATTGATTTCTTGGGTATGCCTCTTATGTCATAGACGCTTAGATAGACATGCAGGCAGAACAGATGTGGGAAGGAAAGTGGGGGCATGCAGATGAACATGTGTATGTTTGGTGTTTGTGGTGGAGCACACCAGGGGCAAAGCTATGAAAACCTCTTAGATATAACCAAACACCCTTGAGGGAATGAATCACTGGGTCTGGGGACCAGGATCATCATCTCAGGGAACACGAAGGTCGATTGGCACAGCAAAGCCCACCAAGATTATGCTCCACACCTTACTTCGGTGAGGAGCCACTGAGGGCGTGAAAGCCCACGAGCAGCCCGTCCAGAGGAAACAAGATGGATGAAAACTGAAAGACACGGCAACAGTTAGTCCAGGGGACTAATGAACCACGCACGCAAACACCATTCTTTCCAACCCTAAGCCCCAAAGACCTAGATGGTGACTGGCCCTGAAATGGATTACACTGGAGATTCTGGCTAGTGGAGGAGGCTGGCGGAACCCTCGAGACCACGGTCCCTAGGCCGCTGTCCTTCAGATCAGACGGAACTCATCCCATGGTAGAATGAGCAACCACTTCAGATCACAAGAGCAGCACTGACCCAAAACCACATGCAAAGGGTTAGGAAGGCAGGAGAAACCAACCCAGGGAGGAAGAGGGACAAGCAGCGGTACATTGAGACGACGGCAACAGACAAGCAGACTGAAACAACGTGTGTGTGGATTGTTGAAGGTACCACTGGTGATCTCTTCTGTAAGCCTTCGTCTCGTGCACAACATTTCTTAAAAACAAAATTGTTGTTCTTGTTAGGTGTTGAGTCAGTTCCAACTCATACTGCCCTACATACAAAAGAGACTGGCATAGGAGGGAAGAAATACACGCAGTGAAGACACTCAACGAAGACAATGCTCTGGAGATGGAGAACAGATTCGGGAGCTGCCAGGGGCTAGAGGGTGGGGAGAAGGGAAAGGCTGCTGTGGAGAGAGAAAGAGCCTCAGGAGGGAACGCCCTCTATCAGGTCTGGGTGGTTGTCACACGGGATAAACTGCACAGACCTAGAGGCAGCACACAGTGCGTACAAACGGGTGGAACCGCAGCACGCTCCAGGAGGAGAGCGCCACCCCAGAGCTCCTGGTTGTGGCACTGCCCTGTCCTCATCCAACAAGCAAACTGGGAGAAGAATACTAACAGCCCTCTCTACTCTTTTATTCTTTTTTACAACTTCCTATGAGATTTTAGTTATTTCAAAATCAAAAACTGTTCCTTTTAAACAAATCCTAATAAATTCACCTCAAATTCATCACCCCTCACAATTACTCACATTGTGTACGACAGCAGGCTTATTTTTCTCATAAAAACAAAGGACCTGTGGATTTCATAATTGTTACCCATTTAAAAATATTATCCTGTAAAATGCCAGCAATCCTGTGGGCACCAATAAAAGCTGAATATAAAATTGTAAGCAGCAAAAAGAGAGAGAGAGAGAAAGCTCTTCTATGAATTGTTTTACTTGTAATTTCACATAGGGCAGAAGAGCCATTGTCTCCATGCTACCGAAGCTCCACGAAGCCCTCCCACAGAGCTGCAACATCCCTGTGTGCCCAGCTCCAGAGCCCTGCCACGGAGGTCAGTGCTGGGAGTATGCAGACAAATGGAGCGGTGTGAACAGGATGCCAAGTCAGAGCTAAGTTTGTTCTCCAACGTAGTTTGTGGCCTAAGGAAATCACAAAAGGCCTCCCCAAGCAGGGTTCCTTACAAGGTAGTCAGTTACTCATTTGGCATAAGAATCTTAGCAAACAGGTTTTCTCCAAGGGCACACATAGAATTCACGGTGCCGAGTCCACATCACTGGCCTGATTTGACTAAAATCCCAAGGCACTGAGACGAAAGAGAGGGAGAAAGAGATGGGAGAGGAAGGAGAGCAGTGGCAGGGGAGAGGGAGGGGAACAGAGCAAGAGACCTCCAAAATAAAATCAGAAAGCATTCCATTCAACAGAATTCCGATTGTGTCCCCCTCTCAACAAATAAAACCCCACAAGAAACAAGCACGCGACTGACTTCCATTGCTTTGTAGTTTGGGGTTTTACTTTTGACAATGTAAAACCAATTCCACAAACTACTCGCCATCCTTGGGAGAGCCCTTTAAGATGCCTGGCCTCTGCACACTGAGGAAGGGCTTCTATTTCCAAGTTTTTCTCTTCTTCCCCAAGTGCTCCCAACAGGAGGGGAGCAAACAACAGCAACAAGCCCAACTAGTCAAAGAGGGAAGACTTCAAGGGGACAATTGGACTACTGTGTTGCAAATTACACAGTTCACATCTGCAGAATAATTTGCACAGCATAACCAATCCCCCTGAAATGTAGCCCCATTGTACCAAAAGGGGATCTCTTCTCCCACTAGATCCTATCTTTCACTGATAAACTTTTTGGACGAGAAATCGCACAGCAGATGTGAAAAGCACATGGCACTGGACAAAGCAAGGGAGCAAGAAGCTGTCAAAAGAAATGGCTCCTTCAAACAGCAGCTCCCGAGCAAGAATGAAGATTTTATCGTCTAATGCTGACTTTGTGTAAAGCAGCGAGCTATTAGACCCCGTTCCAAGACTGCAGCTAACAGCCAGGCTGAAATCCAGGCGCTGGATTCATTTAGCTACACCCTTGTTTTCAACTCTTGGGAGCACGGCCAATGTGTAAAGTTAGAACATAACAAATCAAATTTCCAAGGGGAAAGGAAAAAGACAATTCAGGTGCTCCGGCTCGATGCAATCGATCTAGGCTCTGAGTAAGGCTGACGCTTGAGCAAAATTTTATTTAGTGACTTTGCATTTAAATCATTTTCATCATTTCCAAAAGACACACTGGATTAGAAAAATATTGGCTAGCAACCCTGCTTAAGTAATATTATGGCAACCAAGAATACCGAAAGCCTTTTCAAATCTGTGTGAAAAATGACTTTAGGCAAAGTGCTTCATGAAGAAATAGTGCACCACCAGAAAACTCCCTCGATGGGCCTGCGTCCCATGACTGCAGTGAACAGCCACAGAAGAAGCAAGCCCGAAGCTCCAAATCTGGCTCGACTTCCCATTCTGGACGGGGCGCTGGCCCCGAGCTCTCAGACCACTCAGTCTCACTGAGGCCTTTTCTCTTGAAGGGAAACTTCGCTCTCAAACAAGGCAGGGTAACCACCAGACAATCAAACTCGTTTAGCAGTTACAGCAAACAGATACTTCAGTGTCTTCCAGGAAACACCATTGTTCATCAAGTGCCAAAGGGTAAGCAAATCCTAACGCATGAGAAATCCATTATAAACCTGTGGCCCCAAACACAAGGGGACAGTTTTGGGGTGTTTTGGGTTTTTTTTCCGCTTATTTGTTATTGTTGTTTTTAATGGTTAAACCGTATCAACATCCGTTAGCTGATTTAATAGGCCCCACGCTAAACTAAGAAAAAATTGGTAACTCAATGGTAACTTGTTACCACTGAGTCAATTCCAACTCACAGTGACTCCAGAGGGGGCAAGCAGAATAGCTCCTGGGGTTTCTAAGCTGTAATCCTTATGCAAGTAGATTGCCATACATCATTCTTCTAAGGTGCAGGCTGACAGGTTAAAACCACTGACCTTTAGGTTAGTGGCTCAGCGTTTAACCACAGCACCCCCAGGGATCCTAATAAACATATCGTATATACTCGAGTATAAGCCGAGGCACCTAATTTTACCACAAAAACTGCATGAAAAATGTGCTGAAAAATTTGGCTTGTGCTTGAGTACACAGGATAGAGCTGCCCTATGGGTTTCTGAGACCATAAATCTTTACAGAAGCAGACTGCCTCATCTTTCTCCCTAGCCCTAAGCCCAGACCTCTTGAATCCTAAAATGCATTTAACCAAGACTCGCCATGATGTCTGTGCCCCAGAAAGCCAGGCCTAGAGCAGGCCCGAGATGGGTGTCAGGGCGAGTTGTCAGTGTTAACGTGCCTCTCACCTCACTGAGTGGTATTCTGGGCGTTCTGAGATAAGCGGCACAATCTGCCTGAGCAGTACTGAATGACCTCAGCTACCACCACATGGGCAGCCTTTATGGAGCCCCCATGGAGACAAGGGTCTGACGTGGGCACATGATCCACTAGAGAACCACTGCTCTAAGTGAAAGTGTCAGCCGGTCCATTAATGCTTTACAGTCTAGCACTCTGCACCCTGACCACTTCTTATCCTTTAACCACACACTTGAGCCAAACCAAGAACACTGGTTAATGACAGCTTACCTGTGCACATCTGCCGAGATCACTCCTGCTCAGGTACTGAAATATATTGACTGCCAATTCGTAAGGCAGCTGGACATCAAAAAAGGGGACATCATCCATTTCATTCTGAGGAGACAAAGAGAAAGGACACACACTTACAAGTCTGATGTACAACAGTAACTCGTATTAAGAACTCTTTACATTACCGGAGGTATTAATCGAACGCCTCTCATTCCCCGGAGAAGCCAAACGTTCTCGCTGATTCATAGAACAGAGCCACACCACTAAGCCAGAATCTAGTAGCCACTTTCAATTCACTGACCCTCATCCATCTGCCCTTCTCACATATGAAATCCAGAAGATAATCGCCCATTAAACAAAGGAAAAATTGGGGCGTGGGAGGGGGGAGCTGTATACCAATCTGGGATAATCTACTGCTACAGAATGGATCCCAACTCATAGTGGCCCTATAGGACAGAGTAGAAACGGCTCACAAGGATCCCAAGGCTATAATCTTTATGGAAGCTGGCGGCCCAGAGTTTTCTCTCAAGGAGTGGTCGGTGGTTTTGAACCACCGACTCTTTGTTTGGAGCAAGGGGTTTCACAAGTGTGCCCCACAATCTGGGGCCCACAGGGATCAGTGGAAAGGTCAGTGGCGAGCCTCTTGGCTTGGAAGATGAGCAGATGATGAAGGCCAAGAGTGTGAACCCTGAGATCAGAGACGCCGCCCCTCCTCCGCGAACTGCTCCTCCCTACAACTTGGAGGTTGGGGAGCACCCACGGATGGAGCAACACTGCCCCAGGTCACTGACGCATTTTCTGAGGAAAAAGGAGAACGGGGTGGTGAACTTGAGTAAAAGGTAAATAAACCAAACTCGGCTGGTGATGGAGGTGGACACGGGCTCTCCTTGGCCACGGGAGAAGCGCAGGTTTCCTAATGCACTCGGGGGTTACGCTGGCTAACCTGAGCACAGCCAGTGCAAACAAAGCTTTTCTTCTTCGGTGTCATTTATTAATGCAGAGAAATTAGAGCTCGCCGGCCTTTGGATAAGCAATTAGAGATGAGGTAACAGGCCTCGTTGGAGAGATAAGGCTGTCATGGCGAGCCTGGGAGCACAGAGAAATATGAGTGTGAGGCAGAAAAAGCCAAGTGTCTCTCTGCGCCCCTCCGCCTGATCGCAAAACCACCTGCCAGAGCTCACTTTGGGGTGCGCTTCTGTGGAGCTCGAGAAAGCTGTGCTTTGTCCAAGCTGAAGCTGCTGAGTAAAATTCATTTTCTGTCAGCTTTGGCTGACATCCGTGAATTCTTGGTAACAAGCAAACAGCTAGCTCCCCTCTTCAAACACAGCCATCTTGGGCGGTGCAAGGCTGCATTCTCAAAACAAAACGGACCTCAGCTGTTTAAGGAGGTGTAAGGGCTGATTTGACCCTACAGAAAACCAGGGTGAAGCTCTTCCTGTAACCAGAGCTAACAGATAACCCTGAGCCTCCGAAGGAAATGTGAGGTATGACTGAAAAAACAGTGCAAGGCTAAGAATCAGGTCAAAAAGAGTAGAGGAACGAGGCATTGCTTGAGGGCCGTCCAACCTGAGCACGTATCTCCTGGCTCTAGACTGCTACTCAGACTCACTGCTGGCCAACCTTTTAGGACGCCCATCCCCAGCTCCTCCTTTCTGGTCTGGCTTAGTCTAGAAAACTCTACTGAAACTCTTCTTCCAGGGACGACTCAGCTGGTCTTTCAAACACTGGTGACACACTTCCAGCTTCACGGCAACATGGCAGCCACCGCAGTACGACAAACTGATGAGAAGTGGTGGCAAAAAACAAGGTTCCAAAAGTTGACAGAATACCAACTGACATGTCTCAACAGACAGACGCCATGCCGATGTGCTCACTTGTAGATGCCGAGAAATCTGGAAGAGAGCGATCCGCCGGCTGACTGTTCGAGAGCCACGTTTGTGCCCATTCCCAAGAAAGGCGCTCACCCAGAACGCAGAGATTCCTGAGCACCATCATTCAGGCCACATGCCAGGGAATCTTTGAAGATTCCGTCGGTCCTTGTGTATAAACCGAGTTGTTCAGCACATTTTTATGCAGTTTTTATGGTGCCGCGGCTGATATTTGGGTTGACGTATACTCGAGTAGATACGTAATTCCAAAGTCATGTATCGCAGAACGTCAACAGGGAACTACCAGAAATTCAAGTGGATTCAGGGGAGGATGTGAAGTAAAAGACACCACTACAAAGTCAGATGGATCTTGGCTCAAAGCTGAGAAAACCGGTTAGAAGTTTACTGGTGTTTTATCGACTCTGTAAAGGCATTCGCCTCCATGGAGCATAACAAATTATGAATGGCACTGTGAAGAATGGGAATTCCACAACACTTAATGGAGCTCATACGGAACCTGGACATAGACCAAGAAGCAGTTGTTTGAACAAAGGGATACTGCTTAGCCTAAAATCAGGAAGGGGGGTGTCAGGAGCATATGCTTCCATGACACTTAGTCTATATGGTGACCACACCATTGGAGAAGCTACATGAAGAAGAACACAGCATCAAGATTAGAGGAAGACTCGTTGACCATCTGTGTTACACGGATGACACAACCTCCCTTCCCGAGAGTGGAGAGAATGTGAAGATCAAAGACTGAAGGACGACAACTCCGCGTCAAGAAAACAATCCTCGCAACGGGGCCGACGGCCAACATCATGACAAAGGAAGAAAAGACGTGACGTTTCCAGAACTGCTTCGACGGCACCCACCACCACCACCAGGAAGACCACAACTGCTCTCTGGGAACCACACAGAACAGACTGTGAACTCAGGAGAGAAATGCCAGCCATTGAAAGACAGGAAGACTCTGCATGCTTAACCTGACGGCAAGGGATCAGACCCCCCACCCCCAAATAAGGAAAAGTCACTGGTCTAATGTCATGCTAGGTCCCCTCCCACAACTAATGGGCCTTACCACTCAGGAACAACTGAGACTCTGCCAGCACTCTCGATGGGCAAACACTGGTCACTAACTTCTTGTGCCGTCTCCTTTGTCTGCTGGTGACTGGGGCTGAGTGACAAGTTGAGTACTGACAAGTACTGGTGAGGGGGATAAAATGGGGGGGGGGGCCGGTTATTCCTGAACCTCATACAACCAGTGCAAAAGCTCAAAAAAGCCTGCTCCAATCACAGTGAAGTCCTATGTTGTGTTTCACCGTCAGGCACTGCGATCTGAAATGGGTCCCATTCAGGCACCTCTGTGAGCTAGTGGCGGGGATGGCACTATGGTGATAAATCATCTTTGGTTTGGGCCCCTCTGGTGCAGAAATGCTCTCTCCTGGTAGCACTTACACAGTTTGCCCACTCTCCAGCCTCATCCTGGATGACAGTGCCACTTGCTCCCTTAGCATACCCCGCCCTGCTTCCATCCTCCTGGGCCACTACCAACACCACCATCTCTAGGATGCAGACCAGCATGGAGGCTTAGAGCAGAGTCACCCTCAGAATCCTGCCATAAGACCCCGGCATGGTGCACCTGGGCCTCAGCTTCCGCGGTGGTGTAACAGACCTGTAATATACCTATTCATGGGGCAGTTGGGGGAATAACATGGAATCCTACACAGGAAGGCTTTTCTCCCCTAGTTACACTCTAAGCAGATGGCAATGGGAATGTGCTGGTATCTATACTTTATCCTGGATTATGGGCTGCAGTAAGAAAGTTTCTCATTCCCAGGGAAATGCTGAGTAATTTTTTTTTTTTTTTCTGAAAAAGGGGCAGTAGGCTAAGTCAGTTTGAGAAGAGGAGGTCACATGCTAAGAACTATGGAGCCACACAAGAGCAGGAGGCCGGATACTGAAGCTTCAGGCTGCCTACTTGGAATACTTTGGTATTATTCCTGGTTATAATGGTTTCTGTAGTGCGGTCTGAGGTAAGTCACTCAGCAGTCTCTAGACATTCATTGGCCCAGATGCCCAGAATGCTGCCTGCCGATACACACCACTGAGACCCGAGGCACTACCCTTGGCCAAGGGCTGCTTTATCCAAGGCTACATCGAATGAATATTAATGTGTGGGCACAAAGGCCTGGTCCCTTTGCCTCAATTTGGGACCTCTCCGAAAGGCCATCTCCACCTGCATGCAGATCTCCATAGCACAGATCCTATTCCATGGAGAATCCAACCTTATCCAGAACACCAGGCGCGACCCATGACACTCCCATGTTTAGCACATTCCCAAAGGTCCTCACACACAGCTCCAGAAATAACCCCCTAGGTAAGGTAAGCACTCCATACTCACATGCCCAGGAAGACATACCATAAGGCAAAAAAGCGAGAGAGTCGTACTATCTGAAAACACAAATTGAAAACACTAGAGTAGTAGGCTTAAAGTGAATTAAATTATTCACAAACTTCATTAGTATTAGAAACATACCATGTGAGAAACCAAATGTTACAAATATTACAAAAGATTGGGAATTATAAGTAAGCTTGAGCCTATGGTTGAAAATACATCTCCTGGGTAGGCCTGTAATATTTGATAAGGATAGAAAGTCATATCCCGGACAAAGGCTCCAGCCTGGATCACTGCAAAGCCTAACAGCAGTAGCACAATGTCTTTAGCACTTACTTGTTATTTTCTACGTAAAGTTAATTTGACTATTACTATACAGAGAAGTTATTTTGGTACTAAAAACCACGGCCAGGCTTTAACCTGGACTAGTTTAAACACACCCACCACCCACTGCCATCAAGCCAATTCGAACTCATAGCAACCCCATATATAGGGCACAGTAGAAGGGCCCCTTTGGGTTTCTGAGGTTGTAAATCTTTATGGGAGGAAAAAAATCCTCATCTATTTTCCTGAGGAGCGGCTGGTAGCTTTGAACTGCCAACCTTGAGGTTAGCAGCCCAACACCTAACCCACTAGGCCACCAGGGCTCATTCTCTAAGCACATAGTTAACACAAAATGTCATGGGCCACATTAATCCAACTCTACCTATACTAATTTAAAGCCATGAAAATGGATGTATCCCCAAAATATGTAATATAAATCCTAATCTGTAGTAAAAATCCCATTTGGGAATGGTCTTTGTTATGCTAATGAGAAAACATTCGTGTAGGGCCACCAC